TCCATGAAAAGTGTCCAGGACCAAAAGAAATGGAACGAGGCCCAAAAAGAGAGAGTGTCTTTACGGACCACACCGTAGCTCATCCCCTTAACTGCAAGGGTGGGGTAGTGGCCCGCCTGTCCGCCCAGCGCTGCACCCGGATATTGAACCCAGGTCTGACGCATGAGGGATGCGTCTTATCCACTAGACGAGACCGGCCCTTCGAGGTCCAAAAAAAGTGCCCTTGGGCTGGGGGATCTAATCCTCATAAGGGATCAAAGCCCGCACCCCCTCTGAGCAACTATGTTGAATGGCCTCTCCGAAAAAATGTGTTGAATTGTTTATTAAGTTCCAGTCTTCGTAATAAGGGATCAAAACCAGCACCCCATTTTAACCCATATGCTGAATAGTTTATTAGCTTCCCTTTGTCTTCATGAGGGATCAAATCACCCGCCGTTTTTGAACAAAACTGTTGGATGGTTGATTGACGTCTACTTATCGTCATGAGGGATCAAGTTCTTCACCCCATTGAACAAAAATATTGAACTGTGAATTTATTTCCCCGTCTCTTCATATTGAAGGGTGGCAGAGCTCAGAATTCAGACCGCCAAAAACAAAGCGGTGGTTGCACAGTCCTTTGCTGCCATCCTGCGGCAGTGTGGGCCGCGTGTGATCCAAAGTGCTAAGGCATTTCGCCAAGCATGCGGCGATGGACACTTGAAACTGTCGCCGGGGAGTGCTACCAGTATGAGAAGCATAGCTGGTTGACGGACGCGGGCATGTAGCGGGAAGTCTGCAAATAGGTTTGCACCACTGCCCCAGCACGGATTGCAGGAGGATTTCGAGAGTATCACGATAACGATGATATGTTGATGGTGATGGTGATGGTGAGTGATGGTGAGTGATGGTGAGTGATGGTGATGCTAATTTTCATGGTGGCGGTCGTGATCATGCCGGGTTTAGTTGACTTCCGGCACGGTCAAACGTAGGGTTTGCAGTGAACATGTTTCCTGATGAGGGCTTACCAATGTTTCTGACATTAGGCCCGGACCATCCGTAGAAGATGCGCACATTCAGCTTCAACTCTCGTAAACAAATTTGTGCGTGCAAGTGCCATGAAGTACTGCCGCAAAATCATTTCCAGATTCCACATGCAAAAGTCTGTCCAAAATTGTCGCTGTTAATATGTTTGGTTTGATTGTAAGCTCATGTTTTCCAATTAAAGCAACGCACTTTCCAATCATTTGGACTATGTCCACCACAGTTTAAGATGGTTGGAACGTACACCATCAAATTATCAGAATAGCGAATGTTAGTACGCCTCTCGCCCGCTCCAATATCCAGACCATGATGCGTCAAATGGACTTTCCATTTTTGTACTGCTGCTAACACGGCCGATAACATCGCCTTGCTTCACCCCACGCTAGATTGACAGGATTCTAAAAGTAATGAACGTTAAAGGCCTGATCCAACAACGCGCAGAACGTACTCAACCGGGCAAATGCTTTAGTTAAACCCAGGTGTGCAAACCATACAGGTATATTCCTTTCCAGGCTTTTGCCACGAATATATTCAAATACTGCAAAAGCGTCTTCAATAACAGTACGTGTCTGAAGTTTGTTTGGGCCATGCTTTGCTGCGCATGCAAAATGTCGGGAATTCGTTTCAACCATAGTTTCGCAGCAATTTTGTATGTGATCTTCAGGATCGCGATTGGTTTGTAATGTTTAAGGTCAGTGATGTCCCCAGTTTTGGACATTATCTTGAACAGGGTGTGCTGCCAGGATGCTGGAAAATTTGAAGTATCCAATACATGTTGTAGATATTCAATAAAAATGATTGTGAAACAGCATTTCTATATTTGAACATTTATATTACGACAGCATCGACGTCCCCAGCTTTCCTCGAAGGCATCTGCGTCAACACTTCGTGGAGTTCTTCAATCTGAAAACGCGGAATGTCCTGGAAACCCCGCACGTCCGCTAAAACACCCCAACATTCCGGAATATTTTGCCGAAAAATGCTGTAATTTCTTCAGGTTGAGGGGTTGCACCCAACACATTTTGAAACTTAATTGGGTCACGGTACAGTTCTCCAAACGATTCAACCCCCGAATTTCATCCAATATTTGCTCAACTCCTCTGTTCCGTTTATCTGTCATGTGTTCACGAAGAACTTTCCGACTTGTTGTGAGAAAATAGTTTTTTTTTTAAAATCGCGGTTGGCCGAAACATCATGTTGTTGCAAAAAAAGTGAAAATGATGTTGTTCCCAGGAGGTTGTCAGCACGGTGATGTTGACAAAGTTGGCAATCAAGGTTGCGAGCCGAAGGTCGCAACAATGCGTTCAAGACAAGTTTCTCAAGATCGTCCATGTTTGTTGGCCAACGATTTGAGAGCATATTTGTTAGACGCGAATGGTACAATGGAATTGTTGCACCATTATGCAAAAATTGTTTCCCGCGTTTTGTTTTGTAACGATCTTGTTTTGTTTGTTTGTACAAGTCGAGGTGGAGACAAACGGTAACTGCCCGATGATCCGAACCCATGTCCAAGAATGAAACCGCGTGCCCAAACACCGAATGAAAACAACGATTGCAAAGGATAAAATCAATTCGTCGGCGAACACCCATGCAGCCTTTAAAGGTCCACCGGTCACCATCGTTGCCAACATGTTCAGTCTTTGTCAACATGTTCCTCATCATCGTTAATGCAGAGGTTAAAATAATCAGCCAAATCCTGCAACAACACACCCTGCGTTCCAATTCCCAATTGTGAATTGAAATCGCCTCCAATGACAATAGGGTAACGCAAACGACGAGCATCTTCCAAACAACCGTGTAATTCATCGTTGAAAAATCCAATTCAGAAAGCGAATGTCCAACATGTGGCGTGACAAATTTTGCTACTTGTCCCCGTGGCATTTTCAAATCAACATGCATTGTTCGTACAACTATGTGTCCACTACTACTACTGCTGCTACTACTACCAATTTTGTTACTACTAGTACTCCTACTACTACTAGTACTCCTACTACTACTAGTACTCCTACTACTACTACTACTGCTACTACTACTACTACTACTCTTACTCCTAGTCCTAGTCCTACTTTTACTACTACTACTATTAGTACTACTACTACGACTACTACTACGACTACTACTACTACTACTACTACTACGACTACGACTACGACGACGACTACTACTACTACTACTGCTACTATTACTCCTAGTCCTAGTCCTACTTTTACTACTACTACTACTACTACTACTATTAGTACTACTACTACTACTACTACTACTACGACTACTACTACTACTACTACTACTACTACTACTATTAGTACTACTACTACTACGACGACGACGACTACTACTACTACTACGACTACTACTACTACTACTACTACTACTACTACTACGACCACTACTACTACTACTACGACGACGACGACGACTACTACTACTCTTACTCCTAGTCCTAGTCCTACTTTTACTACTACTACTACTACTACTATTAGTACTACTACTACTACTACTACTACTACTACTACGACTACTACTACTACTACTACGACAACAACAACAACCACTACTACTACTACTACTACTATTACTACTACTACTACTACTAGTTCTAATTTTACTTCTGGTTCTACTTCTAGTTCTAATTTTACTTCTGGTGTTACTTCTAGTTCTAATTTTACTTTTGGTTCTGCTTCTAGTTCTAATTTTATTTCTGGTTCTGCTTTTTATTTCTACTACTACTTATTCTTTTATTTCTATTTCTATTACTACTCTAGTATTATTGGTATGACCAGTAGTGTGGATCCTTATTGGAATGTTTTTTTTTTGATGCTTTAGTGGCACTGTTTTCTTTTCGGTTTTTTGACCATTCACCCGTGGCATTGTCAAGTTACCAAATGTGCTGGGCGGGACTCGGCGGGACTCGGCGGGACATGTTTTGCATCGAAACCTCCTTGATGTGGTCGAGGCCCATGTTGTATGGATGCCGGCATGAACGGAGCAGCAGGCGGCACATTAGTCACTGACGTGGCCTTGACACTGGGCTGTAGAAGATTGGTATATCGAAACAATGTTTTCATACACACCCATTCCAAAAACAAAATTATATTTTTGAACATATTTCACAGCTTGGGTGTGAACATCCGTTTGGCTTTGTAGACGCAAGGACATCACCTTGTCTAATGTGGCCACAGCCATGGGCTAATGATTAGGGGTGAACTCGGGCAAATTGATTTGGTTGATTTCGAACCTCCCGGCTTGCCGGATCGTAGCTGCATGCTTGAAACATGGCGTTTTTTCACAGCCATGAGCCGCGGTGCTGGCGTCAAAATCGCGCCCGACACCTTAGTGACCTATATTTTGTTTGGGATGTCTCAGAACTGTGACACAATTTGGTCCATTTCCAAGTTGGCACAGGCATAAACCTGACATGTGCGATGGGAGTGACCATATCGCAGACGTTTATTTCGTTGGAATTTAAGAAAACCTGCCAGCGGTGAGAAGGGCCACCTTTCACACCAAAACGTTCATAGTTTCGTTCAATCCGTTGATGTTAATGCCACGGTAAATTTATGATAATTACATATGATTACTTAGGTCCGAAAGTCTTACTATGCGGCCACGCTTGATATTATCAAACATGGGTGGCAGAATGGCAAATATAGATGCAATTATTAAACGCTCCATTTGTGGGAGTTCATGCGCACAGGTATATATATATATTTACATGCGTCAATGCATGTACAGAAGCAAATGCAGATGAATATACACATGCAGATACAGATGCATATACATATACAAACACACACACTCATACGCGTATACACACACACACATACATACACACACACACACATATATATATATATATATGTACATACACACTTGGTATTTATGTACCTACATGCATCATTAAAACTTCGATTCGTTTGGGCGATGTTTGCCTTGAAACACGCTGGATGCATGTCCCCCTGCTGATTGCGATTTGAAGCGAGGTTGGGTGCAGTTTCCGCTGGCGTTTTGCTTTGCATCATTTGCAAGGCGCGGGCATGGCTGATTTGTTGTTTGTTTGGGCAAAGACAATGCCACTCAGGACACCTGCGCATCAGAACCGCACAGATACTGCAGTTGGGTCATGCTGGGTCCAATCTTGTTTGAAAAAATGATGTTCAATGTTCCAATAAAGGATAGACATAGTTTTGCCATGCTTTGTCTCAAGCGTCGATTTGATGCCGTCCTGGAAAACAGGGCCCCATGTTGCCCAGAGGTGCTTCGCCCTGAGCGACACGCGGGCATCCTGGAAGGGGAAAGTGATGTAGAAGAAACCAATGGACGCGCAGACATTGAGGACGAGGAGGACCGCATTTGTGCGTCGAGTTGTAAGGCTGGGGCAGACAGTGGGCAACGTGGCCAGGATTCGCCGTGGGCACTGGCAGACCCTCCAAGTTGAGTCTCAGCTGAGGCTACTTTTTCATGACTCGAAATTGTGAGTGGTCTTGGCCCGGCTCAGGGTTTGTCAATAATTCCATCCCCCCAAAACGAAACACGGCCTAAAGCGGTCGGATTTTATGTGTATTATGTGTAAACTGCCTATTCAACGGTCGTTCTTTGGGGGGTGTCAACATTAGGGGGAAGGGATGATCTGCTTTTGCAGCTGACTTTTTCTAGGGCTCATGCCATTGGGCTCTCAGGTGCTGGGCCCGAAGAGGTTGTGCGCCACATGCTGGGCCGGTTTCCGATCCATATGAGATGTACAGATCAAATCTAAGTTTTTCGACTTTGAATTTTGGGGCGAATTTAGGGGAAATGGGTGTTTCCTTTGGCCACCTGCAATGTGGGAGATCTCTGCAATGTCGGTTCACAGCTTTCATGACAGTTTCCTTCAGCACTGCCTGGAGTTAGCCAACAGACAGCCACTCTGAAACATGTCATCCAGAAAAGCTTTTCAGCTGGCCGGATGTTAATCATGGTCAATAATCCCAACTCCACTGGTCTGAGGCCACCCTGCCGAAAGGGAATAATTGGAGAAATATTGGATGGGTAAGAAAAACATGCTCTGATAATTTGGAGGTGAAAATGAGAAAAATCAGTCATTTCCCTACAAGTATGAATATTGCTTATTCCATGCAAAGCCGGCTACTCTACTGAAGTCCCACAAAAGTTTTGGCAGTTTGCAGGGTTTTGTAACATCCCTCGATTTTTTTGGCATCACCATTTTCATGCAAACTTCAATTTCACGGGAGAATTCACCTTCTCTTTTGAATGGAACTGATTGTTAAAGACCCTTCCAAGTTCCAAGGAACATGAAAACATATAAAAACCGCAAAATTGGTCAATGATCCGGACCCCGCTGATCAATGCTTCCCTGGGTCGCAAGTCCCAGATGGCTGCAACGGTGAAAGTGGAGGGGTGCTCAACTTTGTGCTTTCTTGGACTGCTGGAGAATTACAATTTAATGTATATAATCACGTGGTAAACGTTCCCCAACAAAATCACAAACCATACTGCCTTCACCCAACATTTTGCCATTGGGATTTACCACGTCATTTGTTTTGGGGAGAGTGGTTCATTAGCTTTTAAGGACTGTTAATGGATGCGGTGGGGAAGTCGCGACCAATGGCAAGAGATTTTGAGGCGCCCTGCGCACTGCGCAGCAAGTCCTTTCTGGTCGCAATGCCTTTCAGGCGCAAGCATTGCAACTCGATCCTTTCTGTGAATTTTGGTTTCGCACATTTTTGCACCATTTTGCACCAAACTCTCATTGGGAGATCTCGCTCCGAAGAAGCACCAATCCTAGACGTGGAAACTGGCCAAAAGAGTGTGTATCCAGGCTTTTTGACACGTTGCGACCAGCCAAACTTGTTGGTTTAGGCCCCATAAAGCTTTTTACCTTGGTTTCTAGCTCCTTGTACTGTCTTTGTTTGGGCACTCTTCTGGAGTTAGTAGCTGGTCCTTTCCCACTTCCGTTCGCCACTTTACATTTATGGCTACTTCGAACCTGCAAAGCTTGGCAAGTTTTATGCGTATCCGCCAAGTTGATCTGCTGGCACCATTCCTTCTCAAGGCTGCTAGGCCAATAGAATTGCCAGCAGCTCTTTCGCCTCAATCCATGGCCAAACATGTTTTAGTTTTAGCTCTGAAAACCAAAATCACACTTGGACCCGAAGAAATCCAGGTGTTTCATCAGCTCTGCCAATCTCAGCCGCCATGGCCACGGTCACCACCGGTGAAAGCACCGGTGAAAGCACCGGCCTCAACGGCAGCGCGAACTCAAACACGCTCAGTCCGCTGGCAACAGAGGTGCCAGGAGCCAGCAAGAACATCATGGCCAGGTGCGATTTTTTTGGACATGGAACAGAAATTACCAATCAACATTCGCATTTTCACTGGAGGGGATTTGGCCAATACACATTGGGATTGTGTTTTCTGAAATTGTTGGTTACAGGCATAGAGATTCAGCTAGCCGAAATAAGCCAACAAGCCAACAAAAATTGGGGTATGAAGGCAACACGAAGGGTGATACACCGGGATAACGCTGTTGTTTGGGTTTTGAGACGCCCATTCGTCAGACAATCTCTTAATCAGGTTTCCTTGGGAGGTTCTGGTTTGGGCACTCTGAATTCGACGTTACAGACTTGATGAATTCAGAACTTGCTATAGATTCATAGAGATCCACTTCTAAAAAAATTACAGAAACCCTCTAGGTTCTGGTACAGTTGCGCTGTCTTCTGCGCCGCTGCCCTGCTGCTGCCTTTGTTGACGCAGCATTTGGCAGACGACCGCAGTGGGGAGGACCCTGAAGCCGAGGAGAACACTGGAGGACCTTCGCAGTCTCTGCAGTTGGGGGTGACTTTCTTCGCCATCGCAGTGAGCCTTGGTGAGGAGTTTTTTCCCCCAAGTTCAGTCCAAAGAGGATCAAAGAGGTTAAGATTTTGGACTGGAAACCATTGAGCACCACCTAGCTGTGGTTCAACTTCAGGGATGAACCAAGTGTGGCATCAAAATCGCAAGTTGGAACTCGGTGAAACTCCATTTTTGCTTAGGGTTTGGCACCTGAGGATGGTTTGGACTTTCATCGCTGCGTGGTTCTGCTACAACAGCCCCTTGCTGCTCTCAGATGCTTCGCTGGGGCGTGGCAAACAGGGCCTTGAGGCCCAGCTGGATGTGTCGCGCAGCGTGCTCCAACGAGTGGCACAAGGCTTTGCGGATTTCATCGTGGAAAATAGCAAGAGAGAGGATAGGATGGGATGCAACGGGGAAGCTTGGCAAATGGTGGCATTGGGCCGGAGTTTTGGAAAAGAATGCCGGCTGACTTGTTTGCCTTGGGCTCGAGGATTTTTCAAAAAGGAAGTTGTACGAACCTGATATGCAAAACGGTCCGGTGCAACAGTGTTTGCCACATTGCCCAACAAACTAAGGGGCTTAATAACAGGTGAAACCAAGCAAGCAGATAGAACTGAGATGCACATCCAAGTGATCAATTTTTTCCGGCAGGGGATCTCTCAGATTGGCATACTCCACCTCAAGTCGTGTTTTCTACATCCAAGATCATCCAAGTATAGCTGCAGGACAGCCTATAGTCTATAGCAACCCGTAGAAAGATGCAGAAAAGTAACATCAAATTCCAAGATTTCTTGGTCAATTCCCAACAGCAGTGACTGTTGGCTTTCAATCTCTGGGTTCGGGCCCATGCACCTTCCAGGGAACCGGATGTTGGAGCCTTGGAACTCATGAACCATCCCCAATATTTACATCGCTGGTCAAAATCATCCCCAAGTTGGGTAGGTTTATGGCAGCCAGGGTTTACCACACTATCCCACTATCCGACTATCACCAAATTCCTGGAGAGCTTGCCCTTCAGGAAAACCAGCATGTTTAAAGGGCAACGAATTTTGCCCACCATAGTAGTGATAATCTACAATTCACCCAAGGATTTTGTTATGATTTGGGTTTTTCTGGGTACATCATTCTGGCCGTAGCTGCCATAGCCATAGTATTCCAGTATATAATACAGTATATATAATCCTATGACAACCTATGAATCGTCCATACATATCCCATGATGAATCCATACCTACAGTATTCCATTAATAATCCATAGTATACTATGAATCTTCCATTATAAAAAAGTCTCAAATCCATTCAAATCCACGGATATCTGTATAGCTATCTATTATCTATAGCTATAGAATTGTTCAATGTTTTTCCCATTAAAATCCCATGAAAATCCCATGAAACCATTGGTTTTCCCAAGGAGGCCACCAGCTCCCTTCGCGGCCTGGACCTGGCGAAGTTCGAGGAGTTGGTGGCGGTGGCGCCGGCGGCCGCGGCCTCGGCCTTGTACGGCTACAAGGGGTCGACGCCGACGCCGGAGATGTTCACCAAGGCGGGTCGGGTCAGGGTGGGGACGGTTGGAAGATTTTGGGGAAACTTGGAGGAAACTTGGAGGAAACTTGGAGGAATTGGATGAACTTGGGGAAAAATGGGGGTTTTAACATTTCTTCATGTTTCAAGAATATTTTAAATGGGGATGTTCGGTGATGATCATGTTCGGTTGTGAAGTTAAGTATCTATGGTCAAGCCCCCTGAAGGTGACTCCCCGAAGAACAACTGGTTGATCTGAATGCTCCGGACGATATTCATGACTACACACATAGAAATTTAGCTAATAACTACACACATACATATTACATATATATGTAATTATATGTAATTATATGTATATATGTATATATGTATATATGTATATATGCATATATGCATATATGTATATATGTATATATGTATATATGTATATATGCATATATGTATATATGTATATATGTATATATGTATATATGTATATATGTATATATGTATATATTATATATGTATATATTTATATATGTATACACACATGCATATATCCAGGCGCACACCTACACACACATGTATAGTATGCATACTCATATATTCATTTGTATACACATATGCTATATAGATTAAGCAACAAGCAATCCAAAAACAAATGCACACACACATATATTTCACGCAGAGAGAGAGAGAGAGAGAGAGTAGGCGTATGTATATGTATATATAATATATAAGTATGTGAAAATAATATACACATAAATCATTGAACAAACGAACACATGTATGTATGAATGTATTCATGAACGAATGTATATCCCAGGAGTGCAGCTCCTGCAGCAAGTTGGCGGGCTGCAGTTGCCAGGTCCCCGTTTCCGGCGGAAACGGGGACCCCACGACTGTGCCACAGCTGGATGCGCCACATCTGAGTTTGTTCAAGGAGCTGCTGAGGGATCGCCTAGTGGCCAACTTGATGTTTCAGTTTGAAGGCCGGGGAAGTGATTGAACTGATGGAACTGGTGGAAGTGATGAGTTTTTTGGGTATCCGGCTGTGGCAACTTGATACAGGATGGAAGAGTCGTTTTCCACCATGCCACTAAAAATGTTCTGGAGATGTGTATCTGACTACTCTAATATTTGGGGCAAATCTGACGCATTTCCACGAAGTGCAGGTGGACAGAAACTCGGCGAGGGCTCTGAGGGAAGCAGCTGGCTTGGTGGCAATCTAAGACTACCTTCCAGATGGTTTGCAACCTGACGAAATGGGATAGCGAAAGAACCGAAAGCGAGTATGAGTCGAATGAGCATGTCCAAGATCGGCACAGCCGTTTTGGGCACTTCCACTGAAAGAAACTGTATTTTCATTTTTTTTTCGGCTCAGTCATATGAGCAAAACAGGCTTCAACATAGACAATACAGAGGTCTTTGGATGGAATCGTGCAGCAAAGTTTATCACGCTCCATGCAAACCTACCAAACTTTCAAGGCTGAGAATTATATTACATATATAATTGAATCACCAGTAGCTATGAAATGGCTAGTCGGCTAGTCGGCTAGTGATTATTCCATATATATATAGTAGTATTCTTGAAATCTCAGCTTCAAATGGCTATCATTGAATCACTAGTGATCACCTTTTAGCCAAGGCTGCATCCACTGAGCCGCAGCTAAGTGGTGTGGGCACCTCGGCTGCATTTCATGGGAGAACAGCCGGCAACAACCAATGCAAGAAAACCATGGGTTATATCGTGATAAAATGCTGATCTTGTATATTATAAATTTGATGTTAATTGTTATTCCATGGTTTCTCCTATGGAATTGGTTGATGTCAAAATGTGACCGCCGCTCTATGTCAATGAGCCAGCTTCCATGTATTCCAGTCACTCTCGTCGAGGTTGTGAACAGTCCATCAACCACTTGAGTCTGTTTGAGCATGGCGTACCCCCAAGCCCATGGTTCATCATCACTTGCCCTTTTACATTACATTTTTTTGGGTATACTCACGTATACTCTATTTTCAGACACATCCAACTATCATTTTGCTAGGGGCATATCCCGATTATGTTCTAATATTGCACACTAACCAGTGTCAATTTGAGGTATTTGACATTCCATGTAAAGGCCAGGTTGTCACATATCTTGTCTGCTGCCGTATCGGCGAATAGGGCCCTTGAGTCACAGCGCTATCGCTAGTTGCAAAAGACGCCGTGTTGGACTGCACGATGCCGTAGCCAATTCACATTGGTAGCGGAGCGGGTGACGACTCAACCCCGGGTACGTGACAGATCCAGGCACTTGAATCGTAGAAGCTTTGAATTGAATTGTTCTAGGAACTCTCCATTCTCTGAAATTGTCTGATCCCTGTGGGACAGACCTGCAATACCTCGGGTATAGGCAGTCCATCGCAAGGAATCGTCGAAATGTAGCTGGACTTAGGTTTGGTTCTGACCGGTCCACCGCGCCTCTAGAGACCAAGAGTGGATCATACATATATAGGGACGCAGCACACTATCATGATCTATCATGATTGGGAATTCCGGACCCTTTTGCGAAGAAAGCTGTTTGATTCTAAGAAAGAAGAATCATCACCGGAAGGAGTTCCGAGCCCGGTGGGCCGGACTCTGTTGAAGCAGGAATTTCACCTCACCCGCGCCCAGGCGGCCAAGACGAAGGAGCTGCAGCCTCTGCCGGTCCGAGCCCTAAAGAGGATGACACTGGTCGAGACCGAAGTGCCTTAGTCAACAAGATTGTAGAGGGCCTTCGAGGAGATGCCTTTCTCATTGCCAGGGATCTCGGTTTGGAGACCCTGACCCAAGAGGGAGGTCTTGAACGATTGGTTGAACGAATCAAAGCCCATGTCATGTCTTTCCTAGAGCCCAAGAAGAAGCCAAGGAACTCTTTAGAGCAGGCCAGAAAGCAGGTGGAGTTTTATCCAGACATGCTGAGCTACACCCAACGTAGGCGTAGATGGTGGAGAGTGCTGACCGAACTTGACCCTTCCATGGAACTTTCAGATGGACTTCGAATGGAACTCATGCTTGAACTGTCAGGTCTGAGTCGACAAGAGGTATTGGTCGTAAAAACATGTGCCGCCACTAAGGGATTTTGAAGGAGTTGCCACGGTGTTGGTTGACCAGTACTCCGGAATCCATTTGAGGGAGGGATCCAAGTCTTGGGCTGGACGTTTATCCACCCCACAATCGTATGGGAAGTTTGGCAAGGGGTATGGTTCCAAGGGGCCACAAAGTGGTAAAGGATCCTACAAGACAGTCTATAATGCATATCCCGATGAGGAAGGTTATGGTTATGGTCATGGTGAACATCATGAATACCAAGAAGAATACTATGAAGAAGATGCACCATACGTAGGTTTGCTTGGTGGGATTGAAGAACACCCTGAACAACCCACTCCATATGGTGACAATTCCTACGAAGCCTATGATTTTCATGATGAGATTGATGAATATGAAGCAACAGCCCTGAATGCTCTTGTGGACTTAGGAAAGGGGGAAATTGAGGACGACAAAGGTCTTGGGGAAGCTATCCAGCTCCAACTTGCTGCATTCGTAGCCTTCGGACGTGCAAAAGGAAAGGGCAAAGGAAAACCCAAAGGAAAGGGCAAAGGTCATCAGGTCCAACCTTTCCATCGAACAGCGCAGAAAGCGACTGTCCGAGATCAAGGCCAAGTCGAAATGCCTTCGCTGCGGCGCCTATGGGCACTGGGCAGGTGACCCTATCTGTAAATTCCCAGGACCAGGTGCCAAAGGGAATGCCAATGCAAAGGATTCCAAACTCCCATCAAACCCTCCTAAGCCCACAGCACATTTTGCAGATTTTTCGGATTCGTCTTCAGATGAAGGAATTTTCTTGAGTGCATCATCACCCAAAACACCCAGTTGCAAACATGGCCATCAAGAGTGCAGCTGCCCCTTCAAAGGCACCCAGTTTGGGGCCTCCCACAACCCTGTAGGACGGAATGACCCCTCAAAGCCTATTGGGAGTAACACGAAATTCAAGTTTGGCCAGTTTAAGGGGAAGACATTTTGGGAGATCTTGCATGTCCAACCTGACTACTTTGCATGGACGCAGAAGAATGCCAAGAGCCCAAGGAGCCTCAGAATATGCTGAATGGGCGCACCAGAACTTTGAGTATCGGGGGAACGTAGTGTACCGTAGAAGTGGATTAGAGCCACCACCACCTCTGCCAAAGCAACACACACGTTTGAGGAAACCACCTAATCCACCAAAAGAAAAATGTGCCGTTTGCACCCAGTTCACCCGTCAGGGGAGCACAGCATACCAGCTTTATGAGTATCCTTTTGATGAATGTCCACACGAAGACGAGGACTCTCGAGGTTCTTCAAGGTCTGTTCATCGAACTTTTTGCAAACAGTGTTGCACGTTTCTGGATGAGACTCCAATGGAGCTCCAAAAGACCCGTAAAGCAGTTTCCCACAAGGTTTTGGATGCACCATTGGAAAGGGTTTCCATCATTGAACAGTTGGTTGATGATTCCAAAGAAGCAACCTTTAGCACCGAGATGTTGGACACGATCCTCAATGATTTTGCTTCCTTGGTTGTCACCAGCTCGGAATCTGAGGCCATTACATCGACCAAGCTGCATGAGCTTCTCTACCAATCCATCGCCAACGCAGAAGGAGACATCAGTTTTTCCATGGTTGGTGATGTGGAAAACTATGGGGGAGATTTTGCAGGTCTTGGGATATGTTTTCATGGAGATGAGCCTGAAATAGAGATGTCTGATGGCTTGGTGCATGTGTTTCAAGAGACCCGAGACATGTACGACATGAACGGCCAAACATCTACGTTGTACTGGATGAGGGGTGTAATTCAACCTTGTTCGACTCATTCCACGGGATCAGTATTCTACTTTATTCTCTCATTGGCAGAGGTCCTAGACACTATTCGGTTATTTTCCTTCAACCTAGGATCCACAAACGCATCCGTGACTCTGCAATGGAATCGGAACCGACTGATGGCAAAGATGTACAAGCAGAAGCATCAGCACCTATCAGCGAATCACAGACATAAGCCTTAGACACCGAGGCAGAATTGAGCAAGTTGACCCCAGAACTGCAAGCAAAATTCAAACAGCTCCTTGCCCAGGAAACAAAGCATTTGTCAGAACGCACAGATAGCACAGGATCGGTGAAAGAACCCCCGCCAAAACAACAAAAGATTGAGGTAGATGACGATTTTCAGGCATTCCTTAGTTTCCTACCAGAAATCGACCTCGAATGGGGTGACCTCGACCCAAATGTACAACAGAAGCTGCGCTACTCACAGCAGGCGCGAGAAGATTTTAAAGCCTTACACCACCAGAAGCAAGAGATCAATACCTATGATCCAGAGACCGGGCACATCACCACCACACAGCCCAAAAAGCGACCCTTTGAGGAACAGTACAAGCCCCCTGAGATTGAGGCAGCAGACAAGCAGCTCCAGCAGGCGATGATGCAATACCACGAGCACCAAGTATTACCAGGATTACAGCACTTGACCGAATGCTGCCAAAACTTTTACGGTACGGTAAGCCAAGAGATTCTGTTGCTACAACATATGACTGACCGCCACTCATTGCAGCTGAGATCTTTGGAGCAGAGCAGATGCAACAAAACCATCCTTCTCAAGAACCTGCCGCCGGTGGGTTTCACAAAGACTCAGTTAGACCGCAACGTGCAGTACTTGTTGAATGATGCAAACCTCACATGGGACCGACTGGCGGCAATGCACAACCATGTAGTTACTACTGACGCAGCAGTGCTTCGATTAGAATTTCTCACAGAGGAAGACGCGAAGATCTTTTTTCAAGCCATGAAACGCCGCAAACATCATGGGTTCTTCAATGGGCAACAGGAAGCCAAACAGCCGGTGGAGGACAGGTTGGCACTCCAACCATTTTATGCATTGATTGACATGTTGTCTCCGCATTTTGGAAACGATGGCACAAACGCGTTGCAGATGGACAAGAACACCTTGCAAGTTTGGCCGGGATCAGAGCACCAGGACCAGACCATGTTGGCCCAGGTATCTTACCATTTGGATCCCCATGCGCCTCGGCGCTACCTGTGTACAGTGCTGATTCGAGAGGACGTTCATCACATTCTTGTTAGAGACTTCCATGCAAAATTCCAAAACAGGATGAAAGCCACACTGCAGCTCACACAAGCTCTCACGCGAGCTACACAAGACAGAACCACCACAGCGCGACATGCTTGGCAAAAAAGTTTCGACATCAGCAACACCCCCAACCCGCTCAAAGCTTTCCCATACCAGATCCATTTTATTACCATCTCCCATGACTTGATCAAGCTCCTGGAAACGCACCCCGCCCTGCCGCTGCAAGGCACAGGTGGATTGACAGCAGTAGTAGCCCAGGCTTTTGCAGATTATGGTATCAACGTTGAGGATTATGGCAAAGGAGGCAGCAAAGGAAAATCCCGACCCCTCCAACCCCCCCCTCAGCAAGCTGCCCCTGCAGCATGGCATGCAAAGGGCCAAGGCAGCGCCAAAGATAAGCGACCAAGGCAGCAAAATTGGCAAGACCGATCCCCAGACCAGACCTGGTACCCCTCTGATAGGAGGGCCCGATGGCAACAACGATCCCCAGCAAGACACATACTATGCACAGAGACAGACAGCAAAACCACAAGCAGGGCAACCACGGCAGCGACCATATCAGACAACGGGTAAGGGCAAACACAAAGGCAAGCATCGAAGTTTGGCTGAGGTCATCCTGTGCAAGCTATGTTTGTGTGCATTGTGGGCCAACCGACTATGCCAGCAATGTTGGGACAATGACCTCCCCTCGGACTTTGACCAAAAGCAGGAAATTCAATCTTATCCGCTTTATTGTCCGGGAAAGAAGGGAAACTCTGCTTGCAATCAGCTCCTTGGTTTTGGCAACTGCCCATTGTGTATTGAGCATCGCAATTATTGGAAATCCAAAGCAGCGCAGTCAGTCCACCCTGGTTTCTCGCCCTTTCAGAAAGCTGCTCACCTGGTACTTGACAGAGCACTCCATGACCTTGATCTGGTAAGTGCGGATTCGGAAATCAAAACCGATTGGCTTGATGACATGCGACTTGCCTATGACCAGGATGACCAAAGTGGCAATTACCATTTTGCTGAATGGGTTTTGATGACTTACGCCGACTTAGAAGGCTTTGAAAACCTTCTGCAGTCAGGTAGGCAACCTTATTGCTTCCCGGACTGGGGCGCGCCTGGCCAGCTCCCATCGCATGGCATTTATTTTGGAGACAAAGAGCAACCTTTGTTGATGCAAACATTTTGGTCTGCGCACTATTTTGGTGCCCTTCTCCAGAAATATTATGGCCAAAACTGGCAGCGCATCGTCCCTGGATATACGGCAGAGTTTTTTCAAGCTTTTGACATTAGATTTGCGGCTCTTTTGCCCTGGGACTATGTGGTGGCTGCCTCATTCCGAATTGCACTGATCCAGGAAAGTGAGGCTAGACGTGACAGGTCAACTGAGCCGATCCCGGGCCAATGGCATATGGACAATGTTGAGTGGCTTGTACAGGAAGTCCTGGAAGGTATCCCCCGCAATCAAGATGTTATAGATTACGTCGCCAGCAAATGGGCTGAAATTATCTCAGAAGATGACTTGCTTTTTGATTTGTTTGTAGGTAACCAGCCCTACAGCAACAATGTGGTTCGTGATCTTGCTGCATTTGCCACGTATTATTCTGATTTAATGTACTGGCAGTTTGCACGCATGTATTCCATAGCCTTGCCCAAACAAACCAAGGCGCAGGTGCAATGCCCAAATCAGCAGATGCATCTGCTTTTTGATCGAATTGTTCAATATTTGACAGTTGACGACCCGCAATGGGTTCTCCAAAGGGGATCCAACAATAAGGGGAATATTATAGAAACTTTGTTTTTGTATCTTGCAGAGCACGGGTTTCACGAAATTGTAATTCGAACCATGTGGGTCATCCTGCAGCACCAGGCCAGGGACGGACATTACCCCTGGCTGGTGGCTGTAGCCCGCTGACTAGTGTGGACAGCTCAACCAAGCTCACTAATGACTGGCAGTATTTACATCAACCCCTTTTCCTGTTTTTCCTGCAATGGGCTCCACCTGGTATCCAAAGAAGAAAACATTAAGGACAAACAGCACATTAAGGCAAAGCTGCGCAATCTCGACAGCCTGGGGTCAGAAGACATTACTTCTCCAAGCAGCAATTCACCCGAATATTATTGGCTTTATAAGCCACCTATTCTTGTTTCTCCGGCTGGCCCCAGTGCTTGGTTATTTCTCACTGTCAAAATCTCGCGTGCAAGCTCGGCAACAGGCCAAGCATCGGTTGGCACATTAAGGAAGCCAAGTATCCTGGGGCACATTAAGGTTAGACCCAGAACTGAAGGCAAGCGTATCAGATTGCTCCACCTGAAAAAAATTGCAGATGACTCCATCCCGATAAGCTACTATTCTCAGGTAACATTCCACCCATATTCAAGTTGGAACAAATATATGCATTCTATTCATGGCAACTATCCCACTCACCAATGTTGCGGATGTTATTCGACCCCATGGATATTTTATCACAAAACGCCAAAGAGCTTTTATGGACAATATTTTTCACTTCCCAATGGATATTTAGTACATAGGTTTCACAAATGCAACATGCATTTATCATTGTGGTATTATCATAAGGGTCTGAGAATATACAGGTCCTTCACTGGGGACCATATGAACTCATTATGGAAGCAACTCACTGCAGCGGGGCCGCCAGCGGCAAGCCGGGAGACCACGGTCGAAGCCTTAAGTGGTTGAATCGCAATCATAACTCAAAGCTCCGGCAAGCAACGGCAAGTGGTCACGAACCCCGCAGCCAGGCCGAGGGACGGACGCACCAGAATCTCCGTTCAGTTGAATCTATCTCCCGCCGGCTACAAAATTATCGCAGCACACGGCAGTTAAACAGATGCAACTATAGAAAATGAAACGCTCAAGTAAGGGAGGCTGGTTTTTTCACCCTTGCCTGCCTCCACGGTCCCTCGGAAAGGGTGAAATTGAGCACACACCAAATACGCAGAGCGTACCCGCCACACACCTGCAAACCTACCCTTGTTTCGCGCGCAGAGTTTTTCCACCGATATGTTCAAAAATCACTGTTAGATCTCCCGCCTTCCCGGAACCTGTCTTTTCGATACCCGCTTCCTCATTTCACTATCCACTCCTGGAATCTTGAGACACTCATCGGTCTCTCTAAATATGAGATGCTGTCAGATACGTTGCAGAAATTCTCTGTCAAATTGCTTTGCATGCAAGAGACAAAATCAGCTATCTCCAATGAAATTACCGAAGGTGCATATCGATACCTTCTTTCCGGCACACCTGAAGAACCATATGCTGGAGTTGGATTTGCGGTTCATTGTTCCTTACTCCCGTTTGTTCATGATTTTCATCCCTTTTCGGGCCGCATTGCAATATTGATTCTGAATACCAAGCCCCGTAAAATCGCGCTTTTTTCCATTTATGCTCCTTCCCAGCTGGCGGATTCCGATGCTGACTTCCAACGCAAACATGTCTTCTGGGATGACCTCACAGATATCGTTCAGGAATATTCGCGCAGTCACCAAATTCTCCTTCTGGGCGATTGGAACACAAGATTGTATTCCAACCATGTGTCAAGCATGCCTGACTTTGTTGGCCCAGTTATTTTTGCCCCCACCCGAGCTGATGATGAAACTATTGTGCACACTAACCTGTATCATATGTATGATTTCCTCGCAGCCACAGATACATGTATAGTCTCCACATTCCGTCCTCGGCCTTACCACAAACTGGTAACATACAGAGAAATCAACTCTCCCCCGGACGCTAGTAGTCCGTATGCGCCCTTGCTTGACCATTTCGCAGTCCTCGACCATGTCGTATGCCCCCGTGACTTCAAAAAACATTTTCGTGTCATACGTACTGTCTTGGAAGCAACCCTTCCCTGGTTTCATCCACACTTTCTTCTGGAGGCCAATGTTACCCTGCCCGCTCTTGTGCCTCAACCTTCTCCTTTTCGGACCCCTACTCTCATGTGTGACACTCGTCAACTCAAACAAGGACTCTCGCTTGCTATTCAAAAACAGCTTGATCTTTCCTTTTCTCAGACCACTCCCTGCCCAGTTCCGGAACATCAAATTCCTTCTCTATCTTTATATACTGATGGCTCCTGTCCCAACAACAAGGCTGCATATGGCAACCCTGCTGGTTGGGGTTGGGTTCTTCTGTCCGAGCCACCAGTTGATGGATATGGCCCTGTCGGCTGCGGTCTGCCTTTCCATGTAATAGGCTCCAACAACACCGCGGAATTGCAGGCTCCTCTTGAAGCTTTGGATTATTTATCCCGTTTTCCACCGACTCAGCCAGTAACATTCTTCCTTGATTCGCAATATGTCCTCGACATCCTCCAAGGTACTAGCGTGCCTGATTACCATCTCCCACTTATTGAGCTCCTTTTCCATTCCTTATCCTTCACACTCACTCGAGTGCACTTGGCTTTCGCCAAGGTCCAAGCACATGTTGGCATAGAAGGAAATGAGCGTGCTGATGCAAATGCAAGCAAAGGCACGCATCAACTTGCGCCAATAGGCAGGCACGCATCCACTCCTCCTTTGCCTCTACTTTCTCAGGCCCCAAACATCCCCCTCTCCTTTTCACAAGCGCCTATTTCACAGCAATCTGACCATCTTGCACGCGTCCTTACAACAGCGGCTACCCATTCCCTCCCACATAAAACAATGTCAGTGCGTAAGCCGTACCTGTCCTCCACCACGCGTCAACTTATCTCTGGCATTACATCTGATCAGCATTCTCCTGATCAAACTCACCTCCGCAAAGTAATTAAAAAGTCTGCCAAACAAGATCGCAAACGCTGGATTTTGGACCAAATAACTCGTGACCACCAAGGGGACACGTCCTCTCAATGGCGGACTATAAAGCATTTACGCGCTACCTACCAACCGCGCACCAAACAAGTACGCTTTCCAGATGGAAGTCTCTCCACAGCAGGGGCCAAACCCGAAGCGCTTGCCCAACATCTTGTTGCTGATGTTTGGAATTCAGTTGATCTTCCGCCTCTGGACTCCACACCTTTGTATCCGCCCCAAGACTGTAACCTTCAACCCTTCACAATAGCTGAACTCTATGGAGCGCTCAAGCGGTCTAAAGTCGGAAAAGCACCTGGCCCAGATTCTATATCCATGGATTGGATAAAGGTGTCTCCCTTACAGTTTAAACATTTACTCCTAGCTCATTATAATTCTTGTTTCTTCGCCGCTGGCGCTCCAGACAGTTGGAAGTTGGCTCGCGTAGCCATGATCTACAAGGGTAAAGGAAAAGATCCGCGATCACCATCTAGTTATCGTCCAATCTCACTAGCCAATTCCTTTTACAAACTATATGCTTCAATGCTCCAACACCGCATCGCATCTTCGATTGATTATATTCTGTCACCCCATCAGTTCGGCTTTCGTAAATCAAGATCTACTTCAACTCCGGTCTTTTTGATTCGGAGACTTCTCGAACATTTTGAACGTCATACTACATCTCTCTACCTTTTATTCCTGGACTGGCAGCAGGCTTTCGACTCGGTCTCCCGCGAAGCGGTGCAGACAGCTCTTGTTAGGTATGGCCTCCCAGAGGCGATAATCAACCCTGTCATGGCCCTCTTTCAAGACTGCAAATTCTTTGTCCAGGACGGGTCTTTCTGCTCGGAAACATATTCCCAAAATCGTGGGATCCGCCAAGGCTGCCCACTTTCTCCGTACCTTTTCATCGTTCTTCTTTCTTCTGTTATGGCTGATGTATCCATTCAATTCCAAAATTCTTATGGTTATACCCCTTGGGTCCACTCAGCTGCGCACCCTCTGCAGCATCTTGAATTCGCAGATGACACAGCTCTCATGTCTCGCAGTCACACCACCATCCACCGCCTGCTTCATATCCTCCAGTTCCAGGCTTCCAAACGGGGCCTGCTCCTCAACCCTGATAAATGCCAACTCCTTCGGTTGCATACGGACCATGATGTTTCGCTTTCTACTACTTTCACGCCGTCTCGTCCTTGTCAGTGTCAACATTGTGGGGGCACTGATCCATTGCCCCATCCTTGCCAGGTGGTGGACCATCCTACCTACCTTGGCATTGTTCTTGATGCCTCTGCGTCCTCTTCTCCTGACTGCCTGCGCCGTTTCAGCCAGGCCTCCTCAGCCTTCCGATCCCTCTTCCCACTTTTCTCCAACAAATCCATCACCGTTAAAAGGCGACTGCAACTACATAACCAGATTGTTCTGGCAATATTGCTGTACGGTTCTGAGTCACAAACATACACTCCAGCCCAGCTCCAGAGATTCAACGCGCTGCACTTCAAGGTTCTGCGTCAAATATTTGGCGTCAAAAAGTTCGTATTATCACCGGGTTCTTGCCCCCTCTTCAGATAGTTGTTCCAATGCTTTTCTAGCACGCAAAGCAGCTGCATTTCTCCCCAATCAGCTTACTCCCTCGCAAATTATTTCTCAAAAACGCCTGCAGTATTTGGGACATATCATGCGCCACCCTTACTCGCTTGAACATGCCATGATATTTGGCCCATCTCATTCATTCTTGCGATTATCTTCTCCTTACAGACGTGGAGCTCCCAGCCCACTGGTATGAACTGGCATTCACTGAAGCGTACCACCGGGTACATCTTGTAACTATGAACCAACATCCGCGTCCTTATGAAATTCACCACCCTGGGTATCGAACAGCCACCTTGGACCTCCATAAAAGCTACCAAGGCTCCCATATGCCTACCTGGTTTGACAACACCAAACAATTCAGACAAATTTCTCCATTTTGGCAGGATCGAAGTAAATGGGGTCAATTAGTAAACCCTTACTGCCAGGATACTTAGCTTGTGTGCCGCTGTCATGTTTTCCGAAGGGTAACACGGAAAGCATTGCGCGAGTCAAAAAAAAATCCAAGCACTGGGCTGAGGCAGTTGAGACTAAGTTGAAGAATCTTGGGTACCAGTTTCCATTCAATGACACCAAGGGGAAAACATTCTCTGGATTGGGGACTGGGGGAACCTCGACAGAGGGATCCCGAACTTTGCCTTTCAGCCTGAATTTCATGGATGGCCAATGTACACCCGTACATGGGGTACTTGAGACGCACCAGCTCAGCACCGGGAAGTCGCCACTTTTGTTGTCACTGCATGCTCAAGCCCACCTGGGACTTGTTAAGGATTTGAAGAATGGTACAGTGTCCATTGACGGTAAGCAATTGCCAGTTTTCAGGTGTTCACACACAAGGTTGATGATGATGGCAATTAATTACTCCAAATCAACTTGATCCCACGGGCAAAACATGTCACAACACTACACAGAAGATCCCAAAATGCCACAGGAAGTTTAGAACCGCCTTCGCCGCCTTGTCTGATTTGTCCGACGTGCCATCCTCGACTGACAATTTGAGATCTCCTAGCGGATTCAGCTCGTCGAGCGTTACCGCGGTTGAAGAAGAACTGAACTGCTGTTTGAGGGGACTTGATAGATCCCGGGCCCTCATCGTCACATCAGGTGCCCGTTGGACGGGTCGTCAGCCGAGTTTTGCAGGGGCGACAGTTTTGCAGATAGACTGCAGGCATTTTCATGACCCCGAGAATGATCGATCACTGAGGGGATGCGTTGGTCGGCACCCCAATATCATGCAGGGAGTTGCTCGTCACGAAGCGATGCAGGAACTCATCGATCAGGTGAAGAACTTTCTACGGACCAACCCGAATGGGAGGCTGGTGATCCATCTGTATTGCACTAGTGGTCGTCATCGCAGTGTTGGGGCAGCGACGTTGATCTTTCATTTTCTGGATGTCACTGAATGGAGGAAGCCGCTGCTGATCCATTATCACAGCCCGCAGTGGCGTGAGATGTCTTGTGGTGGTCAGTGTAATCTTTGTGGCACGGCTGACGTTCGTGAGCTCCGACGCTTGATCGACAGGTTTCTCCCAGATGTCCGAATTGTGAGTGAGCCTGTTAGGCCACCAGCATTGGCAGGACCTACTACATCCTCGGCAAGAACACCGAGACCCATGTTGACACTCGCCAGGACTCACAGCACTGTGCCGGTCCCAGTTCGTGCACCAGCACCACCTCCAAGTATGACTACATCTTCGGGGACGCCTTTGACACCGACGCACCTGCCGGCGTACCCACCGCCAGACCGTGAAACGGCTGGTCGGGAGGCAGCCGCTGGACGAGATCTTGCAGTTCAAGTACTTGCCAACCAGGTCCAGGAACTTTCAGGTTTAGTCCGTCAGGAGTTGGAAGGTGAACGTGGTCGAGGCCGACACCGAGTTCGATCTTCATCCAGCAGTCGAAGGGGGCGATCTAGCGGTCGGGGGTGCGAGAGCGGCGATCTCGAAGCAGACGCCGTATCCCGTCACCTCGGACGCCACCATCGGTTCCACCTCCGAGGACACCACCAAGATCACCTCGGCGGGAGCCCTATGATGAGAGTCGGAGACAACAGCTGGAAAGGGAACTTTTCAGTATCTTGCATGAGAATGACGGATCACCTTATTGCTGGAACATTGACGAGGACATTTTATCCTGGATTGCAGACAGCGTGAGGGGCTTTGGTCGAACAGAGACCGAACAATTTGGGTCTGCGACCCTGATCTTCCTCAAGGGGTTCAGCAGGCGATGGGCATCCGTATTGATGTGCGCATCAGGAACCACGTCCGCAACAGCATGATCACAGGTGGGAAATGGATGCGGCAGAAACACTGCATCAAGTCATCTTTCTACAGGCCCAGGGACTCCTCAGGAGCGGCATGGGATCGACTTCAACGTGAAAGACCTGTTGGCGAAGACGTTGGCTTGCCAGTTTCGTGGTCTGACTTGATCACATTCTCACACCGCGACATCGGTCCACGAGCATACATGGGGCACCTTGTGATGGTGTCGGGTGATCAGGGTTTTGAGGGCCAAAATTACGTTCCCAAAACGGAAGCCCAAAAGTGGAGCCGAAACAGTCTCAAAATGGAAGCCCAAAAGCGGAACCGAAAGAATCCTCCAAGTCGGTTCATGATTTGCACGGATGATGACATGTTCAAAGGGGACCCCAAAATCCAGACCCCGAAAGCTGAAACCACCGATTACAGCACCAGTTCATCCCATGAAAGCCCTGTTACAAAGCCTGTGAAGACTGAACCTTCCAATGATGATTCCAGTTATGCAAAGACCCCACAAAAGAGTGTGACCATCAGAGAGGAATCCAATGCCTTGCCACCTGTTGGACTCATGGCCAGAGATCCAGATGGTTCTAACCCACATGAAATCGTTCTGGACTCCGACACCGATGTTGAAGTGCATGAGCATGGCCCAATTGCCATTCATCCCAATGAACGAGTCACCATGGGTAGGAAGCATCGTAAGGCAGTGCTGGACGGTATCTCCAACTTGAACAAGCATGACATGATGATCCAGAGCGGACTTGGTTTGATTTCCAACCCCAGCCATCATGACAGCAAGACAGTTGTATTCACTTCCCATCCATTCGTGTTCGTCCAGGATGGTGTGGGTGCCAGTCATTTAGACCCTGAATTCAACCCCATTGGATATCAGAACATTGTCATTGCCATTGGATACAACAACCCAAATGATCCATTGGGACATGGACGTTTTCTAGCAGAAGTGGAGTTGATGTGTGATCTGGACAGTTGCAAGTTTTTGCACATTGACATTGCCATGACTGATCGCTGGGAAAAACATCAACACCCACAGACCCCATATATCAATGACCATGGTTTGGCATTCACATGCAATGATGAACAGTGGTCTCATGATTTTGAATCTTGTTTTCGTGGACAAACTATGGACGATGTTCTGTCTTGGAAGTTTGCAGATTGGATTGGAAGTTGGGCCAAAGAAGATGAACTCAACCACCAAATGGGGATAGCTTTTGTGGGGGACATGCATGAAGAGACCCTAGAGGATGATCAACAACTTGACGCCCTTTGGGACTCCGGTGATAGAGCCCAGGCGAACCCTGTTGAGGAACTGATCTCTGAGGAAACTCTCATCGATGAAGTCGAGATTCCAGGACTTCCACAGGATGAGGTGGAAAGACGCCGACAGTGGAGAAAGCTCCCGGCCAGAGTGAGGATTGATGTCAGGCGACTTCATCGCCAGTTTGGCCACGTGCCGAAGCAGACCATGATCCATCTGCTTCGTGCTGCAAGAGTTCGTTCTGAGTTCACCGATGCAGTGAAACTCCACAGGTGCACAGCATGTGAGCAAACATCCCGAAAGAAACCCACACACAAAACAGCATTGCCACACAATTACACATTCAACCATAGCCTTGGGATTGATGTTTTTGAGATTGTTGATGCAGGTGGTTCCAAGTTTCAGGTTTTGAACATGGTTGACCTTGGAACGACATTCCAGTTGTGTGAGGTTGTCAGGAATGGTCAGGGGCAGCCTTCATCCAGTGAATGTCTGAAAGCCCTGCAGAAACGTTGGTTCTCGTGGAGTGGACACCCTGTGAACTTGATGTGTGACCGAGGGTTGCATAATAGGGGGGTGTTGTCAAAATACATGGATGATCAGATTGAACGCGCAATGGCGGAAATTATCACCCCAGCCTGTCAGCCACTCAGCCACTCTCCCAGAGTGGCTGGACCAGCCACTCAGCCACTCAGCCACTCTGCCAGAGTGGCTGGACCAGCCACTCAGCCACTCAGCCACTCAGAGTGACTGAGTGGCTGGTCCAGCCAATCTGGCAGCTGGTCCAGCCACTCTAGGAGAGTGGCTGAGTGGCTGAGTGGCTGAGTGGCTGGTTTACCCCATTTGGCAGAGTGGCTGAGTGGCTGGTCCAGCCACTCTGGGAGAGTGGCTGAGTGGCTGACAGCCACTCTGGGAGAGTGGCTGAGTGGCTGAGTGGCTGGTCCAGCCACTCTGGCTGAGTGGCTGAGTGGCTGAGTGGCTGGTTCAGCCGCTCTGGCAGAGTGGCTGAGTGGCTGAGTGGCTGGTCCAGCCACTCTGTTAGAGTGGCTGAGTGGCTGAGTGGCCAGGATGGATAACAAACTTCCTTCACTGGTAGCAGATTACTGTAGCTGTATGGAAAAGTTTTTCGATACATACGTAACTTAAGCCCCGTAAAAAAAATCTGCACACATTGCATCTGAATTTATATTCTTTGCTGGCTCGGTTTCGCGATAATGTTAGTTATTTGTATGTAGTGTTTCAACACGCTATGAACCAAACTACATTCGAACTCTACCATTTTCTTGTCAATAGTTTTGGCCAATGCAAATAAATATATCCATACGTATACACGTTGAACACAAAATCATCATAATTGATCTTTCGGTCAATGTGATGCCGACAATGCTTTGCACAAGGAATTCATTTGTTGAGAACACCACTACTTTTACTTTTATCCTTTCGTCCGTCATTGCATGCCGGACGCGCTGCTGTCTTCAGCGCTGTGTACGGCAGCACCTGGTGGGAACGGATTAACAATAGTTCCTAAGTCCGTTATGCAAGCACCAGAAGCTATTTGGCATTGTTTGTGAATTGCTTATGTTCTTGAAATGTGTTCTACACCAACAGTCCGAAACTGCCAAGAACCAGCCTCAACATTGCTACTGTTAGTCAATGGTATCCCCTAGATCGCAGCTGTTCCATGCATACTGCAGCCGTCAACATTTGATCTTCAAAAAAATCAGTGCGAAACGGCATCTTTGAATTGTTCATCCAAATTCACTAAGGAGATTTGGGGTTGAGCAGGAGATGGCAACAAGGTCGATACGCTTCGAATCTACGCCAAGTTACTAAAGCCAATATGATATGGTAAACCCAACTATAAATCGTTCCCATTGGTTCAAAGATCTATCAACCTTTTTGCAAAACATATCGCATGTGAATTTATTTGCTAGTAGTTTTCTGGCAAAGTATTAAGTCGAAGGTCAGCCGTCAGATAAACGAAAGTCCCCCAGAAAGAGAGGGAACGATGGAAGCGAAGATACTTTCGATTCTTTTCTTAATTCTAAAGTTGAATGCATCCCGATTGTTTTTTTTGATTGAACAATTACCAGCTGAGGAGGTGTGCCCGGTAATGACACTAACCACTAACAATTTGCATCAAATTTGCAACATGGACCCTCACCATTTTGTACACAAATTGTTAAACTAGCTCGACCATGTAATAACAATCCATAGCACACAATGAAGTGACCATAACTTTTCAAAGCGATAGAGAAGTAATAATATATATATATATGTATATTTAATAACATGCATATATAAAAAGATTAGAACTATACTCAAATGTATCCTTCCTTTCGCCATAATGATCCGCAGAGACCCACAGAGCGAACCCCTTTAACACAAGTGACTAATAACTTCTTTTTTACAACCCTTTAACACAGATGTTTGCATAAAATTCCATTCAATCCATAAGAATATATGCCCCCGTTCCCTACAAGATAAAGGAAGAAACCCTAAATTAACATAAAACCTCGCTCAAAAAACTACCCAGACCTAAGAAAAATTAGGTCTGGGTAATGCTGCTTACACTCTATTGGCTAAGTTGCACATGACTTCTTTCTCACAACCCTTTAACACAGATGTTTGCATAAAATTCCATTCAATCCATAAGAATATATGCCCCCGTTCCCTACAAGATAAAGGAAGAAACCCTAAATTAACATAAAACCTCACTCAAAAAACTACCCAGACCTAAGAAAAATTAGGTCTGGGTAATGCTGCTTAGTCTCCATTGGCTAAGCTGCACATGACTTCTTTCTCGCAACCCTTTAACACAAATGTTTGCATACAATTCCATTCAATCCATAAGAAAATATACCCCCGTTCCCTACAAGATAAAGGAAGAAACTCTAAATTAGCTTCAAACCTCACTTAAAAAACTACCCAGACCTAAGAAAAATTAAGTCTGGGTAATACTGCTTACACTCTATTGGCTAAGTTGCACATGACTTCTTTCTCACAACCCTTTAACACAGATGTTTGCATAAAATTCCATTCAATCCATAAGAATATATGCCCCCGTTCCCTACAAGATAAAGGAAGAAACCCTAAATTAGCTTCAAACCTCACGTAGAAAATTACCCAGACCTAAGAAAAATTAGGTCTGGGTAATACTGCTTACACTCTATTGGCTAAGTTGCACATGACTTCTTTCTCACAACCCTTTGGCACAAATGTTTGCATAAAAATCCATTCAATCCATAAGAATATATACCCCCGTTCCCTACAAGAGAAAGGAAGAAACCCTAAATTAGCTTCAAACCTCACTTAAAAAATTACCCAGACCTAAGAAAAATTAGGTCTGGGTAATACTGCTTACACTCTATTGGCTAAGTTGCACATGACTTCTTTCTCACAACCCTTTGGCACAAATGTTTGCATAAAATTCCATTCAATCCATAAGAATATACCCCCGTTCCCTACAAGAGAAAGGAAGAAACCCTAAATTAGCTTCAAACCTCACTTAAAAAATTAAGACCTAAAAGGCCTAATTAGACCTGTTAAAATTACCCAGACCAGAAAAATTATTAGGTCTGGGTAATACTGCTTAGTCTCCATTGGCTAAGCTGCACTAGCTATTCACCCACTGAGACATTCTGCCAGAGTGGCTTGGTGCAGCCACTCAGCCACTCAGCCGCTCTGCCAGAGTGGCTGGAGCAGCCACTCTGGGAGAGTGGCTGAGTGGCTGAGTGGCTGAGTGGCTGCTCCAGCCACTCTGCCACAGCCACTCAGCCACCCAGCCACTCAGCCACTCAGACGCTCTGGTAAGAGTGGCTGGACCAGCCACTCAGCCACTCAGTCATTCAGAGTGGCTGAGTGGCTGAGTGGCTGGTCCAGCCACTCTGCCAGAGTGGCTGAGTGGCTGAGTGGCTGGTCCAGCCACTCTGGCAGAGTGGCTGAGTGGCTGCTCCGATTTCGCGAGCCGTGTTGCACATCCACTCGATGATCATGGTATACAGGTTCACCACAGCCCACTTGAGGCACCTGAAAACCTTGGTCGTGTAGAACGCCACGGGGCCATTGCCAAAGCTCTTTTTCGAAAGGTTTCCAAAGAGACCCAACCCCTTGGCAGAGAACAGGTTGAGTCAGTCCTGCAAGAAGTGCTGATGGTGAAGAATAATGCAGCCCGTGTGGGAGGTTTTTCACCGTTGCAATGGGTCTTGGGCAAAGCCCCACGTTCAGATCCTAGCCCACTGTCCGAAGAACGCTTTGCAGAGCTTGGAGCCTTGGAGGCCCAACACAATCCTGAGAGTATCTTTGCATTGCAACACCTTGCAAGACAAGAAGCTCAGAAAGCATTCGTATATCTTGATTGTTCCAAACGTGTCCAAAGAGCGAGGACCAAAAACACATCACCCTTTCCAAGGGAGTTTGAAGTTGGGGACTTAGTAACCTTCCGTAGGGATAACCAGCGGGGAGGTACACGATGGAGCCCCACAAGCAGAGTGATAGGCCATGAGGGAGCGAGAAATTTGTGGTTACTGCGTGGAAATGTTCCAGTGTTGATAGCCAGTCAGAATGTGAAGGTAGCAACCCCAAGTGAAGCATTAGCACATTCAGTTCTCCATGGACGGCCTGTCATTCCTGAAGAAGTTGTGGTTGGAGGTGAACAACAATCCTTTTTGGATGCTCGTGTTTCCCAAGATTCCCATAGCGATGGCTATGAACCGTCCATCCTCGAAAGCCCAGAACCGAGAATTGCGGACGAAGGGACTGAACTTCCATACATAGATTGGGGAGACAGCAATGAAAACTTACCACCAATACCCGAAGATGATGAACTTGATAATGTAGGGGTATCTAGACCAGGAATCTCCAATGATGGTGAAGGCATGTCCGATGGAGCCGATGCCACGGAAGAACTGATCGAGGCAGCCGGTCCCAGTCAGGACAGACGGAGATCGAGTGTCGCCCCTCGTGCCGACAGAAACGTGAGACTTCGCCTTGAAATTCAGCCTGAGAGTGAGCGAGGGTCATCTTTAGCATTCTCCAGACGTGAGTCCATCGATTCAGCAGAGAGACCTCCTGCTGATGCAGCACAACCGGAACAGCCTCAGATTGCCAGGCCACAGGCATGGCCCAATCCATATGATAATCTTAATGACCTTCCAGCATCCCTGAGAACCCACTTCGGGCGAGCTCGAAATGCGGCCGCACAATGGACTGTGGAACAGGTCGAAGAGTCCACCGCTATGTTCACGTGTTTCATGGCAGGGAAGGATGAAATTGTAGAAGAAGGTAAGAAGGTTTTGAAAAGCATTCACTTTGAATCAGCACCACCAGAGGTTCAGAAAGCACTGCAAGCTTCCCGAGACCAGGAATGGTCGAAGTTTGAAAGCTTTGGAGCAGTTGTGCCACTGACTCCGGATCAGGTTCAAGAACTTGTTGCTGAGGGACATCAGATCATCCCATCCAAATGGGTGGATGTTGACAAGGCTCAGTACAAGAAAGGCCGTGATCCAAACTACCAACCTCAGTACAAAAGTCGGTTGGTATCTTGCGGCAATTTCGAGTGTAGTGATGGTCTAAGGTCAGACAGACAGCCCGACAGCTGACCTTGAGGTTCATAACCTTATTTGTAGCTGGTGTGCAGCTCATGAACTTGATCTGCATTCGGCCGATGTAACATCAGCCTACTTCCAGGGACGACCACTGGACCGAGTGCTCCTCATGCGACAGCCGCGAGGAGGCATCCGGGGGTAGATGACGGAGTTGTCTATCTTGTGAGGGTACCAATTTATGGGCTTACAGGTTCAGGACGCGGATTTTGGTTGCGTCTGGACGGAGATGCAAAGAAAGAAGGCATGAAAGCATCGCAATTTTTCCCAGGTTTATATTTCCTCCCAGGAAGCGACGGAGATGCGTGCGCATTGATGTGCACACATGTTGACGATCTTCTGTACTGCTACTTGCCTGAGGGTAAGGAAGTCATTGAGCGTTTTCTGAATAAGTTCAACATCGGCAGCACCGAGGTGAACGATTTCAGGTATTGCGGAAAGCAGTTTTCGCGCTCAGGTGACGGAGACATTTTCGTTGGCACTGTCGACAATACCAGGAAGATTAAACCAATCCCAATTTACGAAGGCCGTTCAGGTAATGAGAAGATTTCAGGTGATGACATCACAAGACTCAGGTCGGTGACCGGGTCACTAGCTTGGGTAGCACGCCAAACAAGACCAGATTTGGCATACCGAGTTAGCCGCCTACAGTCTTCAATCAAGAATGCCACGGTCAGCACTTTATGTGATGCAAATGCAGTTGTGCAGCTTGCTCACAAAGGTGACCAGGTGAGACTTCGTTTCCCCTGTGGACATCTCAAATGGGATGAGGTCGGATTGATCACAATCACTGATGCTTCTTTCTCCAACGAGCAGAACTATCGTTCTCAACAAGGACGTTTTCATTTCCTTGGAGATCTTACAGAGATCAAGAGTAGCATTGCAGCACGTACAGGGTGATGCCTCTGTCTTACAGTTCTACTACGATCCGACGTGTATGCCGAAGCACACTTCAAGCTGAAACATACTCACTGCAGCATGGTCTTGAAGCCGGGGACAAGCTCAGGGGAGTTTTGGCAGAGATTAAAGGTCAGA